GCCAGTTGTTACGGTTGGAGTTGCAATGGGGTTGGCACTCGTCGCACATGTGTTGTACATGCCGCGAATATCTCCGACGATTAGCATTTAAAGTTGGTGATTAGATGCATTTTTGTACACCTGTTACTGTGGTTGTTGTAGTGGGTATTGTTGCAAATATTTTACTCCAGATATTTGTGTTGTGCCGTAAGAAACACACTAATTAATCAAATGTATCTCTTTGCGTCTGATTATTTGCGGTTATATATATATATATATATATACATATATCTAGCTCAGACTTTAATGCTGTAACATCATCTCAATAACTTGCCTGCATCTCTCAAGAATTTGGTATTAGTTATTTATTGATACGCTGCGTCTTCCAACGAATTTATAAAAATATTTTACATTTGATGGTTTTTATACCCTGAACTTCTTCATATTTATTGGCGTTGCCACCGGTTACACGGTTATAGCCGAGTTTACAACAGCGAGTCAGTTGTTCCTCGTTTTCGCCGTTTAGCGCAAATTAAAAATTTCAAGTCTAACCAGATCATTCTTCACCTGGGTTTTCCAACAGAGTCCAGGTCTTCCTCAGAGCTGAAGTGTTTTCATTCATTCGAACGACATGATTTAGCCAGCGTAGCCGCAGTCTCTTATTTCGCTGAACTATCTCAAAGTCGTCGTATACCTCGTCTCGCCCATCGTTCCATAAATCTTCTGCAGAACCTTGCTTTCGAAAACTCTTAGCGCCAACTCATCGAATGTTGTCATCGTCCATGCTTCTGCACCAGGTAGGCAATGATGATTAACTTGTAGAATTTGGTATTTGTTCGTCGAGAGAAGACTTTACTTCTCAATTGCCTGCTCAGTCCAAAGTAGAATCTGTTACCAAAAGTTATTCAGCATTGGATTTCGATGCTAACGTTATTGTTGATGTTAATACTGGTTCCAAGATAGACTAAATTATCTACAACTTCGTAGTTATGACTGCTTGTTTTATAAAAGAGGATATTTCGATTTGCCCTCGTTTACTACCATACCCACTTACTATAATGCGCTTCCTTATCCACTCTGGAGAAATCAGAACCATCGGTGTTATCAATTGCTGATTTTACAGGTCTGAATCCAAACTGATAAGGTCCAATCAGTTTGTCGACGATGGGCTTTAATCTTTCTCACAACACCCTCGAACCTTAAACCTCAGTTTGCGCAGATTGTGGGGTCTCCCTTTTTGTGGCAGAACACACTTAAATTCCAATCGTCTGGTATGTTTTCGTCCGACCATATTCTACAAAGAAGCTTATTTGATTAATTCGACCAGCGTTGCTCTATCGTCCCCTGTTGCTTTTTTGCTTTTCATAAGGGTAATTACTATTCGAACTTCTTCAAGGTCGGGCAACGAACGTCAGCTCCATCGTCATCGATTGGAGAATCGGATTCACCATCTCCTGAAGAAGCTGGAAGAGTGTTCTCTCCATAATTTCAGTATACTCTAGGCATCAGTCACTAGAGTCACAAGCTCTTCGTACTCACGCATTTAGGCCTCTCTACTTTTTTGTCAGCAAATACGTCTCGCTTCCCTCTTCAACTCTATGTAACTCTTGTCTTCGATTGTAACGTTGCGCGGTAAGCAGTTTGTTTCTCTCCATTGCGACACGCCAAACCAATGGTATCGTTTGACGCTGTATACAGTTCCCTTATACTGAGTTGGCTGATTAGTGCTATTAGCCAGTAGGAGTGCAAGTCGAGTAGAAAATCGTTCGGCTGCCTGTTGTGATTGTAGCTCATCGAGGCTTCGCACTTGTGTAGTCATAGACATTGACTATTTTGCTTTTTTGCAGAACCGGCGGCTTCAAATAGGTCTTGAACCTCAATTAGAGCAATATATTCTTTAAGGTTTTCGATTCTTGCATGCGCCCTACTGTTATTATGATTTATGCATTTTCATTGCCACGCGTGCTTGACTCATAATTTGTTGATTTTAATTACTTAGTGGCATGTGAGCAAAAGCAAATCTTCGTGTAGTTTGTTTAACAGTTTGTAGCGTGTCTCCATTGGTAACGTTAATTAAGTGTGGCAGAGATAACGGCAAACCATAACATATAATTTACCGACATTCGTCTGAAAGACATGGAAATAAATGGAAGTTGGTAATCATAAGCCATTATTTTTAGATCAGTTAAAAAATATTTATGCAATTTTTTGAAAAAAAAACTTATTTGTAAAAAAAATATAATAAATATAATCAATAAATTTTGTGCACCTGTGAGCTGTTTGATACCATACTGATATTTGAGTATTATTGATAGAATATCTGAATGATATTGACCTTGAGGGAAAATTGCGTAATCACACAAAATGCATTCATGGTTTTTTTAATAAATTGATGGAAATAGGCTGCTGAAGTCAATGAGACCACAAAAGAATCCAGGAGATGGAATTAAGAAACTCAGTTCTTTCTTCCTTAAAATGTCGAACAAAGAATTTGTTTCAAATTTTATATTTCTAACCAAATTACATGTGCATCGTGCGCAAAAGGCTTACGATGATTCAGTTTTATCAAAAACACAAGCGTACGTGTGGAATAAAGCCTTCAAAGATGCTCTCTCGACGGATAGTTGAAGACATGCCTCTTTCTGGACGACCTTCGACCTCTTCAACTGATGAAAATATTAAAAAAGTGAAGGATAATGAGCTTGAAAATCGTCCTAGACGTGAAGAGAGCTCGACATCTCTCTCATCTTTGGTGGCTAAATTAAGAATAAATAATTAAAGCTAAATTTTTTCAAAACGAGTTCTGTGAATAGTTATTTTTAGACATGCTTGATCGTGCGAATTCCAACCCTACATTCAATCAGACCATTATAACCGCCAATGAGACATACGTTTAGGAGTTTGGCATGCAAACAAGTCGACAATAATTGGAATGGAACCCGTTTTCTGTCGATTGAAGAGATAAATCAAATTCGCTGAAGGAGCTGAAGGCATTCCAAAAAGTGGTTTCAAAGGTGTTTCGAGGTCTGGAAAATTCGTTGTCATAAGTGTATTAGGTCTGATTGGGATTACTTTGTAGGCGACAAATAATTATCGATGAATAATTAAATATTTCACGTTATAAAAATTTCTGAGATTAAAAAGTCGGCGACCTTAAAAGCTTGTAGAATTCTCATAACAACTGCAAGAAAAATTTCATAGTAAATTCGAAATTTCGGTGCTGTCATTAATCATTCACTTTAGTAAGTCAAATGCTTGTCATCTGAAGTTTCGCAAATCAAAAGCTCATTACTTTAATGAAATTAAATTCATCATTAATGAAATTTCGCCAAAAGTAAGTAGAATAACGCTAATAGCGTTGCTTGCAGCATCTTCGAATTCGAACTCGAATTTTGCTGCATTTTATTGTACACAGTTTTTGTTGTAACGAACGGTAAATTTCGATTTCTTTACTATGAATTATTCATTATTTTCGCCTTCTCATTGTTTTTGTATTTGCCTGTGGCGTTTTCTGTGGCCTTGAGGCAGCTATAAATTAGAGCTGAAATTACGGCTGCCGGTAGACATTGTAGCATTGCCCACAAAACACGGCACTACCGTGGTTTTTGGCAGCTGCTGATTTTAATCGTCGTTTTGTTTGTTTATTTTTTAACGATGCGCCTAGTTTACAGTTAAGGTCATGCGAACTTTAGGAAGAAAAACTTTATGAATTTCAATTGTTTGTTTATTATTTACACAAGCATACTTATATTCAATGGAAGCTTTTTACGCATTCGGCGGCTGGAGGTGAGCCAATCTTTTTTGTTTTCAGTTACTGAGATTTACTAAGCCTCAACTAAGTTTTTTTTTTTTTTAATATTTTCAAAGTATATACTCAATGATGACTGCTAATTTCAGAATGGAAGTTATGATGTGATCCTAATGACAAAACTCCGGAGAACGAGTGATTTGTAGATTTCTTAAAGCTTTGACGCTGCTAGTTCAAAAATTCAGTGGTAAAATAATTTTGCAATAATTCAACGCCAAGTTCACGAAGCATAAACATACATACAATGTGTATTTGTCAGTAATTGCTTTATCCGCGTCAGTGAAGTGAGTGACACTGCATGGATCATATAAAACTCATGTAATATCATTGTGGCTTTGATCCAAAAAGTTGCTGTTTTCATGTTTTCTTATTTGCGGGTATATTTTATTGTATGTATTGTCAAGTTGTAGAATCGAGGTTCTCAATCCTTGAAAGACTGTTTCTTACCTAACATTTATAGTACCTTTAAATGTTAAATGCTACTACTATGTTCCAAAGTAAATAGGACTTAAGAGAAAAAACAGAATGTATGGTTTTTTCGACAAAAATAATTCATTTTATTCAAAATAAGCTTCAATACAGCTTTTTGCACGGTACAAAAGCATGTTGAACGAGTGTTTCAGCTCGTTGGCCTTTAAGGCCACCAGTATGCCAGTGCAAGTTTTTGAATGGTCGTTGATCATCATTTATGTGCCCAAGACCACTTTGAAAACGTGCTCATAAACTTGTTTCATCAATGGAAACGTTTCGGTAAAAGTTTTACTAATTTTAAAACAAAATTTAATTTGTCTCTCTGTTCAAAGGTCATTTTCGCACCGATAACATAAATATTCTGACAGTTAAATAATAATAACAATAACTTTACTTCCAATTCATGAAATGTCATGAAATTCTCACTGGACTATCGTTAAAGATAGTAGATTCCAGTATATATATATATATATATATACCGCCACCAGAGGGCACTAGAGACAAAAAGTCCTGTTTACTTTGGAATGCACCCTGTATATCCACAAGTACATTAACTAAGATAATATAAATACCTAACTAATAGCGTTCGAATTCACGCAAACTTAGTACACCCAGCTTCGGCTAATGTTTATAGTGCTGAGGGGGAATAATACATATAGATCATTCATCTCTGCTCCGCCGTTACTCTATAACTAGAAATTCAAATAATAAATTGTTGTTTTATTTTCGCTCTTATTTACAGGTCAAGCAACAAGAACATACCACCGAAACTGGATCGTGCAGAATTGATCAGAAGCGTGCAGCAGACAGAGGCTTACCACTAACAAAGCAATAACAAGTGTGGCATAATAACAACAACAAATGCACTAAGTACATAGTACATAAGAGTGCAACATTAGTTTTTACTTTCAAAAGCAAACTAAAACCAAAGCAAAAACAAAAAGAATTAGCTCGCCTATAACAACAACAAGGCGTAAATATGTCAACCGGCCGTTGCGATTGTCTGGTGAGCGTGCCAACCGGTCCCACATTAGCATCCACTTGTGGCGGCAGCGCGTTCATGCTCTTCATGGGTCTGCTAGAGGTGTTCATACGCTCGCAATGTGATCTCGAGGATCCCTGTGGCCGTGCCACGCCAAGGGTAAGTCGAAACATGCTAATCAAATGAGCAATAACCATGAAATGTAAATCATGGCGAATAATAATTTTTAAGTATTTGCTATATTCAATAGACTATTTCACTTACATTTTTCATTGATGAAAACTTCTATCGATTTCGTTAAATTTGTGGCACTTATGCCTATGTCGGTCTAAGAGGACTGGTCATCCTTTACGTTGGTTGCGCTTGACGCAAATTTTAACAGACTCTGCGGGCTCTTTATGGATACCTCCTCCAGTGTATCGTACAGCGTAGTTTTGCCAATGCGAGACAAGGGCTCTAGACATCTCTGGCAGTCTTCTTAATATCAGTCTCTTCTATGGAGTGCCAATAGGAATTCTGTACTTCCGATCTATCGTTTTGCACAGGACTTTTGCAGTTTTGCACCCAGGTAGCTCGTTCGATCGGTTTTCGATTTTCTTTACCATGCTTCTGTAAAAAATGTAAATTCTCCCTCAGCCAATAGTCGTCCCGCAAATTTTTCTGCGCTATTTTCAGCGAAGAGGTCTATAGTTAGAAGTTTTAGTATCAGCTCAAAGCTCCCAAGTTGACTGGCTTTAGGCGAACAAAAATCCGATCCGACTTTAATGAGTACGAATACATATTTACTGATTTTCCTTTGGGAGTCCGATCTTAAAGAGTTTATTGTGTAAAAATTGCCAGCAATGCAGAAAATAGCTACAGATTTCTCTATCGCCTCTAGTTTTTTTGCTATGAATATTTTCGTTAATAAAACAGCGATAGATATATTATTTTATTAACCAAAGAGTACCTTAAAATGTTACTGTCGATGTGTTTCGGCGGTATTTTGTTTTTGGAGTAACCCTTAAAAATGTCCAGAAGTAATCGACAAGCAAACTGTCACTCGGCTTGCCTTGGTACCGTTTCTTCAAAGCAGATATGCCTTGATGGAACCGTTCCCCATGTTCATCACTTACGGTCCCTAAATTTTCAGGGGAAAATCCAGATGAGGGTCAAAAAAGTGAATTTTAAGGGACATGTTGCAACCCACTTTTTTATTGGCAGTAAGTAGTTCAATCACAAGATCATTGTAATAGTCAGCTTGTTTTCCAATTTCCTTGAGCATTTCTTGAATTCCTTAATTTTTGCTTCACTGACTCTTGGAAATTTTTGTTTCAGATACAAGAACCCTCTTCTATTTCTGTCAATTGCCTTAACAATATCCTTCACTAAACCCAATTTAATATGCAAATACCTTTTTGGGATCAACTTAAAGTTCACTGGTAACGTTTTTTTTTGTACCGCAGTGGTCATGTGACTTTGCTGAATAGCCAGAAGTTACAGGAAATCAGGCGAATGCGATGGGTGCGATACAATAATAGTTGAAAATGTGGCAAAATGGTCACGAATGGCCAAAGCAGTATGAGATGGTGCATTATCGCACTTCTTTGTTCAATAAATTCAGACATATTAAAAATCGAAGAATCCAATTTTGACGTAAAATTTTGCACAAATGTCACTAACAGTACTACCAACTTATCGGGAAATAAATATACCGATTTGAAAAACACTCAAATTATAAAGTAATTAAAATAACTCAACTTTTGATTTGATCACAGTAGTATTGTAAAATCTAAAGCCGGAGATTACAGAATATCTGTGGGTGCTAGAAAAATTCTATTTTCAGATTTAACTTCAGGGTATCAAACTGTATTGAAACACCTAAGAATTTTCATGTAACAAATTATGTGTCTACCAGTGTAATAGCATACATACATTTTCGAAAGCATGTTTGATAATATCTTAGAAGAGGCGAACAACCTTCGTGTAATACTAGTTTAGGAACAAAGTTTTTTATACCTAACCGAATTTACTAAAATTTGAATACCGACCATAAATGTAATCTAATAATGGAATAAGCGAGTTCAAATTCTCACACAAACTAAAAAATTTGTGTAGTCTTATTGTTTTAATTTTGTAAGAAAGTTCCATTTTTTTTTTTTTTTTAATTTTGTAGCCATTAATAATATTGGACCGGGTGTGCTTTCTTTTGATATACAAATTTGGGTGCGTATGAGTCAATTATTAAAACAAAATAAGAACACGGACCCTCTCACTTTTACTATCCAAACCGTAAGGGTTATACAAATCATATCGATTGATGTTTACGCTGGTCTAACTGTTTGCTCAACTAATTTGATTAGAAGTCGTGGGCTACCTAGATTCTGAACTATTTCATTGGAGAGCTAATGTGGTGTAAACTGGCATTGAACTATTTATTAGTTTTTGAAGTTAGAACGATTATATGGCTTACGCTACAGAGCAGAAACCAGTTTGTTTCTATTAATTACTAAAGCTGTTTTTATACTCTCGCAACAAAGTTGCTAAGGAGAGTGTTATAGTTTTGTTCACATAACGGTTGTTTGTAAGTCGTAAAACTAAAAGAGTCAGATATAGGGTTATACATATATATCAAAGTGATCAGGGTGACGAGTAGAGTTGAAATCCGGATGTCTGTCTATATATAAATATCATGGTGAAACTTGGTACACGTACTCCTGACTCCATAAGAAGGTTAAGTTTGAAGATGGGCAAAATCGGCCCACTGCCACTCCCACAAAATGGCGAAAACCGAAGACCTATAAAGTGTCATAACTAAGCCATAAATAAAGATATTAAAATGAAACTTGGCACAAAGGATCGCATTAGGGAGGGGCATATTTGGTCGTAATTTTTTTGGGCGTGGTCCCGCCCCCTACTAAGTTTTTTGTACATATCTCGGAAACTACTATAGCTATGTCAACCAAACTCTACAGAGTCGTTTTCTTCAGGCATTTTCATATACAGTTCAAAAATGTAAGAAATCGGATAATAAGCACGCCCACCTCCCATACAAAGGTTTTGTTGAAAATCACTAAAAGTTCGTTAACCGACTAACAAAAAACGTCACAAACACTAAATTTTACGGAAGAAATGTCAGAAGGAAGCTGCATCCAGGCTTTTTTTTTAAATTGAAAATGGGCGTGTCGTCGCCCACTTATGGACCAAAAACCATATCTCAGGAAGTACTCAAACGATTTCAATGAAACTCAGTATATAATATTTTTTTGACACCCTTATGACATGTACCAAATATGGGTGAAATCGGTTTAAAGCCACGCCTTCTTCCAATATAACGCTATTTTGAATCTGATGCCTTCTCTGTATAATATATACATTAGGACCCAATGATGATAACGGAATAAAACTTTACGTAAATACGGTATTTGAGCTGAGGTATCCCTTGTGGAAAAATTGTCGTGATCGGACTATAACTTTTCAAGGTCCCTGATATCGAACACGAAGAACTCAGTGCCTAACTTAACCTAACCTAATTTTTCACTGAAAATATCAGTAAATCTCTCATATATTTTCATGTAATTCAGAGGGCATCATTTTTATACTCTCGCAATAAAGTTGCTAATAACGGTACATATCGTCAGATATATGGTTACGTATACCAAAGTGATCAGGGTGACGGGTAGAGTTGAAATCCGGATGTCTGTCTATCCGTCCGTGCAAGCTGTAACTTGAGTAAAAATTAAGATATCTTGATGAAACTTGTCATGCGAGAGTATAAGATGTTCGGTGACACCCGAACTTAGCCCTTCCTTACTTATTTTTTATAGATTTATTAATTCGTTTTTTTTTCAATTTAGACGTGCGGTTTTCAACGAGGCAATACTTTTACCGTAGTTAGTCTTTTTGTCATTTTTTACTTGATTTAACAAAGTTTGGTTTGCCATTTTATAATGAGCAGAATTATTTCGAAACAACGTTAGCAGCTAGTGCAAATTTCGGTAGGGTTCGCGAAACGCATTGGCGCATTGAGTCCAATATTCAATCATATATCGGTTACGATCCTTTGAGTAAGATAATACACATCCTCAGAGACGCCGCACAAAAGTGCTATTGCTGCGATCGAATATATTATCGAAGAAAAACCGAATGAGACAATAAGATTTTGTTCAGCGATTAAGCTTACTTTTAGTTGAAAACTAAATTATCGCATCTGGAGTGATGACCTGACTGCGCTATTTGAGATATCCTGACTAAGAATTTGAGTTCAAAAAGTTTCCAGCACGCACAGCTATTTTTGCCAGTTTAGTAAGTGATGGTGGTTTGACCGCTACACCTCTTGACTGCAACACAAAAATCCTACGTGTTAGGAACTAAACCTACCATTAACTATCATTTTCGGTTTTAGCAACCCAAAATTAGCAAGAAACAGCCTCTAACATTAAAGTTACAAAATGACTATCAACAAGTGTTATTAAACACCTTACTCATTAGTTACACATATACTGACAGAACTCGAAATTCAGTAATAGTAAGAGTGGATTTGATAAACTTTGATTGATAAAATCGGTTCCATGCTCATATGAGACTTCTTATAGTAATTTTGCTATTTTATAAGTTTTCCATTAGTGACATTTTATTTACATAAATATTTATTTTTTATTCGTTTTTCCGTACGACAGTTTCGTTCGGAGCCCGATTATGACTATGATTTTATTGTGATTGGTGGCGGCTCGGCTGGTGCGGTTGCTGCCGCGCGTCTCTCGGAGGTACCCCAATGGAAAGTGTTGCTCATCGAGGCAGGTAAGTGTTGACCAATTTATTGCGCAAATAATTATGGCGGCAACTTGATGTGAATATGAATATAAATATGAGTTTTGACATAAAATTTACTGTTTGCATTTGTACATGCTACTTGAGGGAACGTAATGTAATTGTAATTTCGTAATTTACCACAAGAGTTTTAAAGGTTGTAATCGTTCTACTATTTAATATGTTTATTTTATAGCACAATGATATTTTTGTAACTTTTTGTCAAACTCTTTTGTTCGTTTTGATTTACAGCATTGATTTATTCATTTAATCATGTTGATTTCTCAGAACTTGATTCTTTTTGATAAACATTTATATTAGTTTTGCTGCGTTTGCAGTCACTTTATTTGTTAAAATTCTAAAGGTCTGTTTGAGAGATTAATTTGGTGAAATTTATCAGATTTCTCTTTCAAACGGTGATTCAAGTAGTGGCACTTTTTTCATTACCTCTTTTTTTTTTTGACAGCTGACGTGTCAAGCTGTCATGTTTTGTTCATATTTATATTGTTTGAAATTTAATCATGGAAAAACCTAGGCCTGACGTGTAATATCACAACGTTAGACTTTTTCTTGTGGGGATATGTAAAATCTAAAGGCTGTGCGGATAATCCGCGTGTCATGCGCCAGTAACCAGTCGAAATGTTCAACCGAAAAGTGAGCTCAACGGATGGACCGTCTAAAACATAGCCGCGGTCAGAGAAAGAGATAATCTTCAAAAAATAATTGTCAAAAAATGTTCTTTCGAATGAAATAGTAAGGAAACTCAAAGTGGATCACCCTATCATATGTACACCTATTGCGTAAAATAAAGCCTTACTAGTAAAATTTGGACTAGTTGTTCATAAGCTTTAACAAGTCGCCTAATTGCCCATTTAAATGCACAGCTTAAGTAATTTTACATGCACATACATACGTATATAACGTATATAACAAAGAGTAATCAAAATTTTTACATTGTCTTTTTGCAATAATTGATTGCCCACAAACGATAAGAACACGTTGATTTGAATAATGTTGTCTTTATGTATATAAGAGATTGCATGTAACAGCACAAATCAGATGAGAGATATAGTATGCTTTAGACAATTAAGAAAACCAACACACTAAATACAGATAATGAAATAAATTATAGTGATTTGTGGTTAGTAGATTATCGAAAATAGTATTGCTGAGATTTTATTCAAATCATATTTTATCTTAGGAAAATGATAATATTCATTCTCATTCACTTAGGCATAATTTCAGATAAAAATTTAATATTTATGGCGACATATTGTAGATAATACTAATTAAATAAAAATATAGAAAAATCACAAAGAGGTTAATAATTTATTATTCAATTATTCCTTCGTGAAAAAACATTTCTTCCATTTTCTCTTGGATATAAATCAGCACAATGACGTTGTTTGACATTAATTTATGCTGAATATTCGAATATTCTGGGAAACATTCATCTTTGTTTTAAATTAGGTTACATCTTAAAATTTCTTACATCTTACAAATTATCACTTTAGTTGCTAATTATAAAGTGTAGCCGTAGTTTTGTTGAATAATGTATAACTGAACTTTTGTGAAAACGCATTTGGAAAGGCTATGTATGTATGTGATATTTCTTAATTGTTGGTCTACTAGGTGCATTCCAAAGTAATTTTTTGAATCTAGCGCCCCCTAGTGGCGCCATCTATATATCGACTGGTGCGTAAGAAACTACTATCTTTACCGATTGTCCAGTGAGAATTTCATGACATTTCATGGATTGAAAGTAAAGTTATTGCATTTAAAGTGTCAATCCCCGATTCATCTGATATGGCACCGTGCGACTGCTTCGTTTTCGAAAAAATGCATTCGCTCGTGAAAGGAAAGCGTTATGCGGACGTAGAGGCCATTGAAAAAGCTGTATTGGAGCAGAAAGAGACTATTTTGAAAAAAATAAATTGAGTTTTACGAAAAACCCATTTGTTTTTGTTATTTTTTTTTAACCTGTTTACTTTGGAACGTAACTTGTACAATATATTTCGTGGCAACTAAAATAGATCGTTATTGCGATATGCGTAATCGGACCACTGCCACGCCTACAAAACTCGAATTAACCAAAATCTATAAAATGCTATAACTAAGCACTAAATTAAGATACCGATCTGTAATTTGGTGCATGGGAGGATTCCAGTAACAAGGAACATCTGTTAACTGAAACTTTCTTAAAAGTAGTCATAGCCTCCCCCTCATAATCGTTCAATGTATATATCTTCCAAACCGCTAAATTTAATTTAACCAAGCTTGCTTGAAAGATGTCCTTTTGGCATCTCTTCATACTCCGAGCAAATCTGTAAATCTGTAAAACAAGCATTACACATCCCAACTAAGATGGTGGGGAAGAGCTTTGCAGGAGAAGGTGTAAAAATTGAACAATGGGCGTGGCACCATCCATCCTTAGATGAAACCTTATATCTCAGAAACTTCTTCTTTATTGGCGCGGACACCACTTACGCCGTTATAGCCGTGTTTACAACAGCGCGTCAGTCGCCTCCTTTTCGATGCTTGGCGCCTTTGGTGATTCCAACCGAAGCCAGGTCTTTCTCTTATTCTCTAGTCGTATACTGCGTAGAATACTTTCAGAACTGAAGTGTTTCCGTTAGTTCGGACAACTTGACTTAGTCACTCATTCTTCCGCAGAAACTTTCTCTCGAAAACTCGTAAAGTCGACTCATCAGATGTTGTTATCGTCCATTCCTCTCAACCATATATCAGAACGGGAATACTGAGTGACTTATAAAGTTTGCTTTTTGTTCGTCGGGGAACTACCCGAGCAATTTTAACAAAATTTGGTGTGTGAGGTTACCCAGATAAAGTTCGTCGATATTAACATCCTCAGACACGGAAAAGTCACTACTCATGACTCTATAGCGTTGCCCATTGACTGAAAATTTCGTTTATTAACGTACCCATTCTCCCAGAGAGCTTAATCGTCGCGCGAACCGAACCATTATTTTAGATATACATTTGCAAACGTTATCCCGGAGTAAGTTTGTGCATTAGGAAATGGTTTACTAAACTTGTTATCAAGTAACAAATGTCAATAGGATCAACTCCGAAAAAAATTAGTGCATAAAAGTATCATTGAAAACCACATTTCCAAAAAATCTTCGCGGCAATTTGATTCCATTTGAAAATAACTTTCCTGGCTTGACAATCAAGAAGGAATCAAGGCAAATTTTTGATGGCTTGTTCTGACGTGAACCGTATACGCTTGAAGATGTTCTGCATTGGCCGTATGGTAGTCCAAAGGGCTAAACTCCGGGCTTAAAAGCAGATGAGATAAATCTTTCCAACTGCTATTTCGCAACAGTCATATTATCTAGTGGCAAATTCCAGGCGTTTTCGTAATCCGCCAGTTTCAATTTGATGAGTTGTTGTCGGTAGCGTACCCCATTAATAGTTTCACACCGTATTATTAGCTTATAATGCATTGGCGTCATCAATATTCGGTTTTAATTTGACCAGGTTTCACACATGATTTTCATGTTTACGGTTTTTTTAATGAATTCATTTTTCGTCACGAGTCACAAACCGATGCAGAAACGACTGCCAGCTGGTTCTAAATGCTTTTAATGAGGGTATGTGAGCTCTTCTTTTGCTTGGGAACAAGCTTATCGAGTATTGCTTCCTATTCCCCATCCTAAAACCTCTAAACAATGTTCGACATACTTGAGTGAAAAAGAAGTATTAACAAAGAGTTTAATATCTAATGGTAATCATTGATTTAAAGGGCGTAGTCTATCTACTTTCTGTATACACAAACTAGTCACTCCGGTTTTGATATATCGATCTGAAGTTTTGCACCTTTTCTTCTCAAGGAGCTGCTCATCTAACAGAACCGTTGACATCGGAAAACTCTGGAATATAGCTACAGTACAAACTAAATGATCAAAATCACATTTTTGTAGGAATATGGTATTTGTGACAGCTATTGTAGTTTCGATTCAATTGAACTTAACTTTTTTTCTTGCTTTTAGTTGTTCTGGGATAATTCTATATCTCCAATATGCATACTGCTACCATGTTAATGGCATAACAACTGCTACTATAGTTGTACCTCGGTCGCCATGTAACATACAAATCTCAAACAGATCTTATTTTCCACTTTGTCTTCAAACACATACATATATAACACTAAATATATGTAGTTACTATTGTTAATTTTTTTATTATGTGGAAATTGATTGTAAAGTTAGTTTACATAATGTGTTATGTGGAGTAATAAATAAACACGCTCCAGCGCTGAAAATGTGGGACAAGTTAAGCTTTGTAAATGACAATTGTCATAGCAATTAAAAGTGTTAAATCAAACGAAAGTAAAAATGAGTACAACTGTGGTTTTTGTAGAGGGATACATGCATAAGTGAAATGTTGCACATCAGCACCCATTATAATGAAACTCGTTGTATGCAACAGCGTACCACGTGTAATTATACGTTAGGTAGCGTAATTAAAAATTAGTCACAATCATTGCATATGGCCGCAAACAAATACACATACACTTATGTATAATATTCATGAATTATTTGGATTTAATGACACAAAGGGAACTAAATTCGGACGACCAAAAAACTTAATAGAAGAGTCCAATGCGTTGATATCCTTCATGATATAGATGCTAGCCATCGCAGACTCTGAATATTTTTTATGCAAAGAAGAGTATAGTCATTAAACATTGCATTTAATTGACTAAATATATATCAGGTCTCATCCATTTTCAAAAGAGCACAATAATTTCTTAAAAGGAAGAAAATATATTTGATCCAACTCCACTGTTTTTGATATAATACAATAACATAATAAACTATTTTCTTGTTGTCTAAATATTTATTGAAAAACTGAATTTTATCAAGGTCCCCACTTTTTTAAGGAAAAATACAGAAACTTCAAATTTAATGGGGAATGCTTATATGATTCGAAAGAACATACTTTGACATATAATTTTTGAAGATTAT